AGTCATGGTTGCAGGATCGCGCCAAGTGAATGACACTGGGACCCAAGCAGGTCGATTAATCCAGTCAGGCCTACCCGACGATGCTTCAGCCACGAGCAGCCTCGTTTGCTATTGATGTAAAAAATCATGATAAGTGTATTCGAGCTATGATTCATACCTGCTGCAGTTGATTGACTGGTAAATGTTGTAAAGAAGTAAGTACTTCCTTGCCATCGCGCGGGCGGTCGAAGTTATCCTTAACCAGGTAAGCAGTCACATCGAACAAGGCTCCAGAGGCGAAGTATTGCTCGTTCGGCCTTTGAATGCGTACGAATGAATTGTCAGGTCTTTGGCCATTGATATGAATGACCTACAACAGTTTTTGAGTACAAGTATCATTCACATTACAACATACAGCCACGGTGCCCTGCGCAACATTCACAAACTCGTGGATCGCTTTAAACATCTTTGTCTTCTTTCGAGTGATAGTGCGGGCATGAGACGCTCTCTTCGTGACAAGAAACTCCGTGTGGTCAACGCAGCGTACAACTCGTTGGAGTAGTACGGGAAATGGCACACTCTCTAATAGGCCTTTAGTTCTGACGTCATATTAGCGTTCTCTACGTACGTGCGTGCAAGTTGACCAGCGAAGGGTGTATTCCTTTTTCCTTACACTCATCAGCAAGTGTGCGAGCTAAATTGTACGCCTTGTCGCCCGGGCGGTACCATTCAAGCAGCATCATCGTATCTACAACATGTTTATTCAAATATTCAACAATTAGTAGTACAGTGTACCTGGAACACTGTGCTTTAAGTTGTCCCACATGGCCCAAAGCATCACTTTTGCACACGGCTGCGAAGCGAATTCCCAGGCTGCTGCTTTCGTCAATGGATAGTCATCCAGAAAAGGTCCCGAAATGTCTGACGCAGAGCAAATCTTTTGGACTGTTCCAAGTGCAGTGTGAGGTTTCGTACGAACTGCTTTTCGTTCGAATACCCAGAATGTCGGCATGGCGTTTTCGGAGGCAGCAATCGGAGGACCAAGCGGCACAGGCTGGGGTGCATTCCACGGGGGTAACGTAGACGTGGGCAGCGTAGACGCTTGCCATGCAAGGTGTTGCTGGAGCCATATCGCCCATGACTCGGGGACGATGGAAGGAAAGTCGGCAACATTGAGCCTTGTCATGTCTGGAGGGCCACCGTCGAAGAGTTGGGTCGTCATACGTTGTTGTAAGTCCGTCTTCGACACGCCACGATTCGCAGACACGTTCGCCCACCGTAAGATTGTAATCATGTCTGCAACCTTGAGGTCCCAGCCGGCTATGGGCAAGACCATGGCAACAAGAGGAAATTAACAGTATTGGTTTACAAGATGATTTCGTGTTTGTGGATTATTTCACAACGAATATTATTACATGTGCTACGTACCTATTGTCAAGTGTATTTAATTAAATCTTCCTATTCAATTGTCGACATCGGCCATTCATAAGGGTACGACTTCCTATGTACACAGAGTTGTTTGTAGTGTAGGAAGAATGACTTTGTAGATAGTTGTAAAGTTGAGCGAACTAGTGCCGATGGACGACAATAACGGCGAAACTAAGAGTTTACACTTCCTGCGTAGAGCCTGACATCTCATGGGCAGACCATCAACAGTGAAGTGCCGTTTGTGCCAAACAAACCCTAAGGTGAACCGCTGCGTGAACCTAGTTTGCCCCCAATGCTTTTGCCCTTGTCCTGCTCATTCTTCTCTGAAGCGGAAACGTTTTGCCGAAGGCGCTCGAGCCACCCTCGTTGTCGACACCCTTGACGCCTTAGCTTTGAACGCCCACCTTATTGGCCATAGCAATCGTGCTACGGCAAGCCTGAACCATGGAAGCGCCGCAGTTGAACACCACGATGACTACGGCGGTGGTGGGTTCGAGTATTGTGATACTGCGCATGTGGTTTCTGCCGCCATTGGGGACACAGCCTTGGAAGCACCCTTGTCTCAAGTCGCGCTTGCGTTCCCCAACCGATATGCCAACCTCATCCTTGCGCACGATCTCCTTATCACGGTGTTCCCTGGGAAGTTATTCGTGCTGCCGGCCGCCAACGAGGGAATGAACCAATTGAGGTTTGATGCAACCAGTGCCCACGTATTCGCCATCACAGTTCAGTTTGCAGACAGAGTGGTTCCAATGTTGTACTGTTCACAGTGCAGAACGACCCGGAATTTACTCACGAAAGAAGTCGTTGCAGGCACAGTTGTGCCCTCCAGCCGAACATTTGCCGAATACCAAGCTCAATGCGACGACGGCGACTGCGTCCACGTGAACGTATTACGAATTTTGGCCGTTAATCTACCAACCCCTCCACGCGGCGTGGATCCAGGAACGATTGCAGATATTCCCCCAGGGTGTCAATTCGGGGTGACGTCACACAACAGGACTCAAATTTTTGCGTCCGTGCAGGCCAGCGAGCACCCCCTTGATCGGGTCTTGATGGAACTGGAAGGGGAGAACTTGTGGAAATGCACCTCATGCCCTCGTACCACGTCGTGTACCCATCGGTTGGTGTGGGGGAGATTTCAACAGGAAGCACAACTTGACACTAGGATCGACCCCGAGTGGTTTCGGGATGACTTCGATTCCTCCCGTGGTGCGACGTGGACCCCGCCCAGTGTCACTTTTCCCGTGCAGTCCAGTCTACAGGATGAAGTCAGAACGCGGCGTGGCTTTCAAACTCTTTCTCAACTGGATCCTCACTCATTCGAGCCTGTCCAGCTGGCGTTCAACTTGTGTTCATGCGGGCATGCATACGACGAGAATGACCGCCGCTTTGACTGTCGCGGGACTGTGTACGGGGTTCTTGGAACATTTGTCTTTGACGTGCCTAAGTTTGGTTGCACGAATCCCTTGTGTAGCATGACTTTGTCATTCGACGGGTTTTTCCATGGGTTCCTCAGGACCAGCCACACGTCGTTTTTCGACCTGGACCTTGTCAATCTGGTGCGTCTCAGCTCCATTGTTGGCGCCGCGCCTATGTCAGCTACGTACAGAATCATTGAAGGAATGTACGCGTCACAGAACCAGGCGCTTTGCAGTCGCGCGCATTTCATACGTTCATGCTGGGTGATCCTGCGAGCGTACGTTTTTATTACCTTCACCTTTGACACACCAATAACATCGCATGTTAGTGTGAATGTGGATCTTGTGAAAAGCTTCACTTGTCCCCACTGTGGATCGTTGGACAGTGCTCCCATCATTATAGGCGATGGTAACGCAAAAATGGCCTGCCGTCGCGAGTTCTCCACAGCTCGGTAATCTGGCACAATAATACTGTTGTGTCATGTCATCGATGTAGGAGGGACTACCCACGGCAGAGTGTTCCACGACACGGTGTTGCGCTCGACAACAGACAATTCATCCGACATGCAGACACGCGAAAACAGTTGCTTCACTACTGCGGATCGCGAGCGCACCAAGGGGATCACCCTCCCAACACCATGTGTCCTGCAACCCAAGCTCGGCTTCGATTGATGCTCCATTTCCACGCCAGGTGCATTGTGCCCATGTTCGATGCAACATTGGCCAGCGACAGTTGTGTTTCGGGTCTTTGTCCCCCACCATGGCGTGAGTTTCTCGGTGATCTGGCTCGTCAATCACCCGTGCAAAATGCGTTGGTTCGTGCCCCCCACATCATGAAACGTGTTATATTAGCGCTTGCTACCCCCAACACAAGAGTCGTGGCGTTGGGAGTGAATAAAGCTGTAACACTTGGCGAACTCCAAAGGAACATGCCAAGTCTGGCGGCTGCACTTCGAGCCACCTGCATGGATGTTGATGTATGTCACCCTCTGTGGCTGCCACTTGCTCCCATCTTGGAACGTCTGGCTACTGTGTTCTGCTCGTACTTGGATGCACTGCCAGAGCATGAACAGTGCGCGCGAACAGACGACCTGCATGATCACTTGGCAGATGATGACCTCCACGAATGGTTTCCGGAAGCGCGCTGTCGAAGACAGCTCGGGGCATACGGGGATCAACACAAGAACGACGACGTGATTTGCTCTAAGACGGCTCCAAGTGCCCGGTACAAGATGCCAGGGATTTTTCACTTCTGCTGTCCACACGGTGTTTGCCTTGGCTTCACTGTTATGCTTGACCACGAGTCCCCAGTGCACCCGTTCTCGATTCTGTGCCAGCGGTGGCAGGTGACGGATAGTCCACGCGTTGTTATCATGGACAACGCCTGCAACTTGCACACGTACTGCCTGCGACGCGAGCCCTACTTTTTCCGCAACGTGTGGTTCCTTGTTGACAGGTTGCATTATTGCAACCACGTGAACTGCTCAAGTGGCTACAAGGTTGACAACTTTCCCTTTCTCAAGGACATCAGCACAGTCACTTGCGAAGTCTTCAACTCAACGTTCAAGGCGGTCGTGAAACAAGCTGGATTCATGGGAATGGAGAATTTTATTCTCTTCACCAAGCACTTCATGACTGCCACCAACGACCGCAGAGTCGCAACAGTAACAAGCGAAACTCGAGCGGTAGGTCTAAAGCGTGAAACTTGGCGTTCTATCAATCAACTCATTCGTGACATGCAAATACCAGAAGCGCCACTCCCCTGCTCCCAGCTGAACCCTTGCTCAATGTGCAACAATATCGAAGCGTGAGCACGTGTATTACTCCGATGGCATCGGATTTTTGTATTAGATTTGATTCCGTGTGATTGTTATAAGGTCATATGTACGATGTGGTTTTGTCATCGCTGCGTGTGTGGTGTTGTTGGTGATGCGTCACCGCCCTCAGTCGCACTGATGAGCTGGTGTCTTGAGAGGTTTCGTTACTTCGCAGGCGCTTCTTCTTCCCCGGTGGTGGCGAATGAAGGGGCAATGCATTCAGTACTTGTGCTGCACACATTTCTTCGTTCGACGCAGTGGCCGCAGACGTCGCCACAGGCAGCTGAGTAAACTGAGAAGGTAACAGTGCTTTTTCCGCTTTGGCCATCCTCGACCGTATGATCCAATACTGACGCGCCACCGTCTTTTGCGCTTCGACAAGGACTTCGGCGTGTGACACAGGTCCAAGTTGCTTGCATATCTTGTTTCTTTGCGCCAAGGTCCTCGCTCGAATTCGCGCAGATTGTTTGATGTTGTCGACCGTGCATGCTACGTCGGGGGGATCGATATTGTACTGCATCATCCAAACTCGTACCTCCAGCCGTGAACTTTAACACGAGTATGCGTGGATACACTCCAGGGCCTGTGAGGAAGGGCGTAGAGGTGCCATCCAATGTCTCGAAAGCTGTATCGCCTTTTACCTTCACCCCTTTCAGCATCATGCCCGGTACCAACCCGGCCGACCAGGCAATCGAACGCTCCACAACTGAAGCAATACTTGACATAGGATACTCATTTGACCACGACACACCAACGTCGTCTTCAGGGCACAGCAAAGCTAGTTTGATGAATGTCTCGGGCTACATTAGTGCGTCAGGCGCGGATTCACGGGAAAGCTTGTTACCTCAGTAGGTTTCCGCACCATCAGTCAATTTCTGTGTATTTTACTTTTAAAAAAATGTACCGATGGTTTTTCCAAACTATGACTTGTCAATGCGTACGACCTAAACAATATAAAGAACTACTGGTATTTAAAATACATTGTGTCACCAAGCTCACTACGTTTCATAGAAATGTGAATCCCAAAACAATTAAAACTACACTGCGAACGTCACTTGAGGAATCGAAGAAATATGGTCGTCCATTGACACCAAGTTGCATGATAACCTAACCCGCTTGTCTTCGATGAAATGATGAGCAAAGACGAAAACATCGACTCATACAATATCAAGTATACATTGGTGTTGCGTGGCTGACCACTCAATGCTCTCACTTTGCAAAATGCCGACATCAGCAACAAGTACGCCAAAGAAACTGACGACCATCACAGTCAAGTGGGAGTGTGTTGAGGCATTGGGCGCGAAGATCATGTCTGTCGATGACGTCATGGAGCGAACGGGCCGTAGTGCCAGCGCTGTGTACAAGTGGATGCATGAAAAACGAACGCTAGAGCAGCATGTGGCGAGCGGTTTTGGACAACAAGTGCGAGTGGTGGTGCGGAAGCCCAACCGACGTAAGAAGCGGACATCCTTTTTCCGCGGCCCCCGTACACCGAAAGGAAACCTGGCTCACGTCGTTCAATGGATCAAGGCGCAGCCTCCACGCAGCTTAGATATATCAAGCATTGACGAGAAGTGCCACGAAGTCCCTGGCTTTGCTCAAAAGTCGGCTCAAGCCAAGAAGAGCTTCGTTCGAGAACTTGTACGCCGCCAAGGCCTCCGCGACTTTGTGAACTTCGGCGTTAGCACTGCACCTGATGAAGCCAAAATTGTGTGCACAACTATCACTGCCACCACAACATCAAACACCACAACCAGCGAACCTTCCATCACCACGACTGTCGTAGCCACCACCGTAACCGAGTCCACTCCAACCTATGCAACGGAGAACAGCTTCGAACTCCCCTTCACTCCTGCTTTTGGCCCATCTTCGGCGCCGATTATTGACCAGCCTTTGTCCCCCCCAACCAAAAGACACCCGACCCCTCCAACTGAATTGAATTTGCCTTGCACCACATCCAATGTTGATCATGCCTCCGCCCCCGCCTTGAACCCGTGTGTACGGCCATCAAGTACGGACAACATAGACGTTCGCACGAGCAATACCACC